GAGTTACCAGTCAAGCATATAACTCTAGAAACAGAGCCATTTATGGATTCTTTGTCATTTGCAAAATTACCACTGAAAAGGTCTGCTATAGTTTTTGGGTCATATATAAAACTATTATTATGCAGGATGCATGGTATATCAACATTTTGAGTTGATTTAGCACGTTTATTGTAAAGGTGGATTAGGTTTTGCACTTTTGAGCTAGTACGTAGTGCTAATAGCTCTTCATTGATGGCTTTTAACCTATGTTTCTCTTTAATTTGGTTAAAAATTATTGTTATTTGTGTGAATGCCGTGAAGTCGTTAGATTTAAAATAAAGTTTCTTTAGGCGTCTTAGTTTATTACGATATTTAGCTGGTATATATAATTCGTGATGTTTACTAATCCTGTAAGTCTTAATTGGAGCACAGGAGTCTAGACAAGAGTTAACAATCAAATAGAATATGTTGATGGCATCTGTCAGACTATTACATGAGAAGAATTCATCCCAGTCTGAGAGTTTGATCAGTGAGCGCAAGAGGTCCCAGTCTGCATGGTTATAGTCTCTATAATTGCAGGTTCCTTGAATTGGTCGGTTGTAGGAGGGACAGATGGGGAGAGCACAAGTTACTATCCTATGATCACTGCTTTCAAACTCGTTGTATACTTGTACAGATAGGGGAATGATATCTCTACTAAATATTAGATCAAGTGTATTATCACCCCTTGTTGGGGTACGAACCCACTGTGACCAGCAGTACAGATTAAGGATTGATAAAAATTCATCATTGCTAGACTGACAAGTACCGGTACTCCAGTTAATCCCAGGATAATTGAAATCACCAGTGATAATCTTAGCGCTGAAGTTTAGAGTAGATGCGTGTATAAATGCATTGATAATACAATCATTCAAATTATCAGTACTATCAGGAGCTCTATATATACAACCTAGGAGTAGACTATGGTTTAGGGTATTGATTGATATCCAGATCGATTCTGGTAAACTATTCAAGATACTATCTTCAACTTTATTAGTTTTTAAGGTATCCAAAGCAAATATAAGACAACCGCCTCCTCGCTTAGTTTCTCTGTCACAGCGATAGAGTCGATAGTTTTGGATATTTAATTCGGAATCGGCCACTGCTGGATAACACCAAGTTTCAGTGATAAGTATAAAAGAAGGCTTGGCTAGAAAGGCTAAGGTTCTCAAGGCTGAAATTTTGTTCAGAAGTGAACGTGCGTTAATAAGTAATAAGTTTAAAAAGGGAGTGTGTAGTGTAAAAAAACCGAGAGCATCCTTATCGAAGGTATGAGTTCTAGCTATGCCTGGACTATGGTTCAATGTGTTTGCTGGATCGCAAGGGCTATAGCATGAGCGAATTGTAGTGCTAGTGGAACAAGGGATCTCTGGAGGCCGAAAAAAAATCCTTATTTTGGTAAGGTTGAATAATTTGTTGTATTTGTTTTGGTGGACAATTAAGACAGGTGCCTACATGTTGGGGTTGCGTTGATGGTGCATAACCTAATATACCATCTTCTCCACTGCGAGAGTGATGATAAGAGTTACATCTTGCAGGTTTATTATTTATTACATATGGGGGAAACCATGGGGCACGTTGGTTTATTGACGTCTGTCTAATAGTAGGCCTGCTTCCATGATGGTTGTTGTGGCCTTCTTGTGTAACGTTTGAACGAAACGTGTCCTTATAACCTCCCTTACGATGAGTAGGGTTAAGCATAGTTTCAGAAATTATACTTTTGTTTGGTAAAGCCGTTGAAATATTTTTGGTAATCGGTTTGGAACTAGAAGGTTTTTTATTTACTTTCTTCTTAATTGATATATTCTTTTTAGGTTTAGCAGTGTTTTTATGAGCCTTCACAATAGAATCAGGTGTACGATCCTTGGCTTCCGATATTACACTGGAAAGAATGACATTAGAGTCTCCATCAGATATGTCCTGGTTATCTAGGGCCACTAGGGGTATGAGAGGCAAACTAACACACTGCATTGGTATATCAGTACACTGACTAACATGAGATAAATTAGCTGCACCTGTGGGTTCAGCTGCTGGCGCGATCACATTTGTTGTGACCTCAACAATGTTATTTTCGTTTATGGTACGCTTTTGTGTTAATCTTTGATTTGTGGTTTTGTCCGAGACTATACGAGCGTTTTTAAACTTCGTATGCGCACAAACAAGCTGTTCAGATTCTATCAAACGTTCCGCTAATAAATGGGAATCGAATCTAAACAGGATAGGGCACGAGTATTTTTGATGCTTTTTGTTAAGTCGGATACATTGGCATGGACTGTCCTGGATGTTAGCTGCCTTTAGTATCGAGTTTCTTACAGTTTTAATGGCAACCTTGTCAGGTATATTATATATAATCACGTTATTTCGTGAGATTATTCGCTTGGTGACTTCGCTAGCTATCGAGTCAGTAGCGAATTCTACTTTGATCCTGTCTTCGAGTTCAGAAGGAACTATGTCCTTTGACAACAGCAGTCGAAGGGGTGACAGTGTCTTTAGTTCTAGTTTAAGATCATCATGCTGTAATAAAGAGCCCGCAAGTGACTCCACTTTAGAACGCATATCACTTAATTGCTTAAAGACAGCGGCTAATTCGCTCTTAATAAGATCGATACCATCTGTTCGTGAGTTAGAACTCATTATTAAGTTAGACATAGAGTCATCCAGTAACATGTGTGGAATAAGTCCACTCCCACTATTACCTGGTGCAACAGGAGTTGCAGAGCATGGGGTAAAGGTAAGACCAGAGTTGACATCTGAAGAACTAGGACTTTTTCGAGCTCGTTTTTGTGTCAGTCGAACCATTTTTCTTCAAGGGTTAACTGAATGTTATTATTGATTAATAAACTAGAGTTTAACGATATATAAGCACTTTGTAATAAATACCGTGTGATCGTAACGCAAACTTCAAACGTACCGTATTAGATAGGTTCTTGTTTCAGGGATGGGTCAAAGATAAACTTCAGTAGTTGTCTACATAAGTATTTATCTTTAATTTTTCATTCTTTCGAATCAAGTTTTATTAGCCACTTAAAGTATATTCTTTTGAATTAAGTATCCGAAAGTGAATGTAAATCAGTTAAAAGCTCCATTCCAGAAAGGTTGGTGAGCTCAAGTCCCTGGGAACATCATTCAAAATGATCCGCAAAGTAAGAATATATTAACCCACAAGGAGTTTCTATTAAAATTCTGTGAATACTAATGACTTTTCTTACTTATTTAATTGCGCATGTTATCCATCATCGAGTAGCATAGGCCATGCACCAGCATTCTCCATCCAACCCAATCCTGGACAATCCCTTCTAGTGCTTTCCAGGTCAATTCATCTATTTTGTGTCTGCTTCCGATTCTTGACTCAAGCAATTCATTTTTTCAAGCCTGATATCTGTACTTAAAAGCAAAAAAAATTGTTCTCTGATTATGTCCTGGTCCTAACCTTTCAATTTTGTTAATTATTATTAATACATGTTTATTTCTTCCTCAGATTTTCAAAGTAGATCATAATCTTCCAGACTTTTCTTTTGCGGTCTGATTTTGCTGTACAACAGCCCTTTCGGAAATTTGACTATTTTCTAATTTTTATTAAACACCTTTGCATTGAATTACATGTTTAATGATGATTCGTAGTGTGACGATTTAGTCTGTGCATGACCGATCCTTACGGAAACCGGTCTGTTGATCTGGATGCTTCTTGATAAGAATCTGAAGCGTATTTGCAGTGACTTCAAAGTTTCAGCATATATATTATCAGTTCCTGTCACCTCCCCAAACTTTCATAATATTAACATATAGCAATACTAAGCAAAGATGAATAGTGGCTAGCAGTGGAATCCAGATTAACGCGCGTTTCGTTCTATTTGGGACTCGTCAGCTGGATGTACCTGCATCTTAGAGTTGATGTTCACTCTGGGACTCGAACCCAGTAACTTTCGCTTCAAACGTCATCAAGTTATCCATTCGGTCACTGAGTCCTGATAGCAACTTGCTTGTGTAATGGGGTGAAGTTGAAACTCACTTAGTATTGTTTGTTTGAATCTTCCCATCGATGTGTCAGGACTGCAACTGGTCAGTATCTCATTGGTTTATGTGCATACTGTGTGTATTTTCTCGATATAGCCTTAATTCAAAAGTATGGTAAGCAAAGATGATCGAGGTAATACGCACAGTATTCACATATGCCAATTAGAGGCTGACCAGTTGCAGTCCTAAAAACATCAATGGGAAGATTCAAACAAACAATACTAAATGAATATAGCAATATTGTTTTTATCAAACTTATTCCTAATTCAGAGATGGATAGTGGCTAGCAGTGGAATCGAGGACGCGCGTTTCGTCCTATTTTTGACTAGTCAGCTAGATGTACCTGTATCTGAGAGTTGATATTCACTCTGGGACTCGAATCCATCTCTGCTTACCATGCTTGTGAATTAAGGCTATATAGAGGCAATACGCACAGTATGCCAATTAGAGACTGACCAGTTGCAGTATAAACAAATCGATGGGAAGATTCAAAAAGAAAACAATATTGAATGAATTTATTCCGAATTCATTATGACAACTTCCAAAACAAAAATTAACTTTTCAATGATACTTTTAAATATTGCTTTGATAGTTCTACTAATTGTCATTTCACTCCTCAGATTTATTTAATTTTTGGTTTAAATTTACACTTGACCTCATTTTTTATTTGTGTGCATCACTCACACAAAAAAAAAGGTAAAAATAATTTTTGGTATATCATTATTTTTATTATTATTATTGTTATTCAATTCATTGATAAATGATCTCATGTGTAAAGATTGTCTCCTTTTTTGTTGTTGTGGTGGTGGTGGTTGTAGTTGTTATTTCCCTCTCCAATGAATATTCAATAGCTAAGATATAATTCATTTGCTCTGCATTCTGATTGGTTAATTTAATTAACCAATCATATTTTTTCTTTTTTAATTATTAATAACTCTATATATATATATATATATATATATATATATATATATATGTATCAATTATTAGGATCATATTTTCACCTGTGAACTAAACATATATAGATGTATATATAATGATAATTCACTTTTAACAATTTAATTTTTACCATTAATATGAATAATATTACATTATCATTACTTATTAACAATGATGTATTTACTAAAACTACTTATATCAATATAAGTAATACACAAAATCATACATGTATAGATCATTTTCAATGGTTAGAATTATTTCATCAAAATTATCAACCAATACATGTTTATTTATGTTTAATCTTATGTCCAATTGGTGTTATAGCAAATACATTAAATGTGATTGTATTATGTCAACCACGTTTACGTAGTCCAACAAATTTATTATTAACCTTTTTAGCGGTTAGTGATGGTCTTGTTATGTTTATTTATATTATATTTGATTATTTCTATTTAATGACACCTAGATTATTAAATGGGATGACTAAATCATATGCTAACCTATTATTGATTAATATTGTATTACAAAATTTATTTCATGCATTCTCTGCATGGATCATTGTTGCTGTGGCTATATTTCGTTTAATTTATATTAAAACTGGTGTTAGAGCTGCTATTTATTGTAATATGTTTAAAGCATGGATTGTTATTATATTAGTGATTATTAGTTCTATTCTGCTAACTATACCATTTATGATAGCACATCAAATACGGATCAAATCTAATAATCATGATCATTATACTACTGATAATACTAGTGATAACACTACTACTACTCATCTAATCTATACTACTTATAATCAATCAACTACATCAATATTATATGAAGTTGATTATACAACAAATATACATTTAAAAATTATATTATTTTGGAATTCAGCTATATTAGTTAAAGCATTACCTATAATTATAATGACAACTGTTAGTGCTGCATTAATAACATCAATAAGAGAATCAGAAAAACGTTATCGTATATTAAGAAGACATCGTAATGATTGTAAAAATTTTCAAATTACCATAGATACTACAAGGATTGATAGTTTCATTCATAATAATAATAAAAATAATAATGAAGGAGAAGATAAATCAATAACAGTAATCCGTCCAAAACAAAAATGTAATTCACATATTGAAACGTATTCTGGTGGACGTAGTGCAAATCAAACTACATATATGTTACTTACTATAATTATGTTATATATATTTACATATTTACCACAAGTAAGTTAAAAGTAATAATTATTTATGTATTGGAACAATATACTACTACTATTACTAATATAAGAACTTTCGTCTAAATTAGTCAGTCAGTCAGTCAACTACAACATAGGACCAGAAACATATATGCATCGATCCAAGTTGACATATCTCATTAGCACAACAAAATAAACATCGAATTCATAGAAGTAGTTAACTTAGTGGTGTTAATATATAAAAGAAAGATTGTATATAAGGATATAGTAAAGGAAGAAAGACAGATATGAAGCAATTTTAATGTCAAAGTTTAAAAAAAGATAAAGCGTGTATACAACTACGCCATTGTGGTCAATTCTGAGCCATGTCATACAGAGTCTCCAAACATTGATTACAATAGTCATGCGGACCCCAATCAGGTAGTCTACATCTGCCAACATGGCTCAGACTAAAAGTTAGAGACTTCAAGCTCTGATTGCACGTTTTGGGTTGGCCGCCCCTAACTCTCTTCCAACCATTGCTAATATTACTCAGCATTTCGTGGTATACGTAACACCTGGCTCGATCATCTCAGTTGATGAAGATTCATGATCTCATCAACTGATTTATCATCATTCTTTAATACCCTGTGTCTAACATCACTATCACGTTTAAATTAGGTTAAACAGTTTCATTGTATATAAGCGTCGATTAGATGTAAGACATAAAATAGGAAGTATATGTATATATAAAATCTTAGGAAATGATTTTGAAAGAAATCTATCATCTTGCCTATCAATATGGTTTAAGCTTTTACAATGAAATAAACTACTTCTTCTTTGTTTTTAACAAATCATTATGTTTATTAGTTTCATAACCTTTTCACGTAGATTTGTGAAAAGTCCACGGCAATTCACTGTACAGGTTACTAAAACGTACAATTTGACATATCTTAATTACCCGCAATATTATGTATTCTATAGTGTTTTATAATTTGTATAATATCCAATCTCATTATTTTTTTGGTGGGGGGGGGAGGTTTTCCCTTATAGTCTAATAGTCTTCTATAAGGTTTTGAAGAAATTTTAGAGAAATGATACAAAACTCTAAAATTTCCCCCAAAATTTACGAAATAGGATAGTTTTAATGGTAAATAATTGAAGTTAATTAGGATGAAATTTTGTAAAAAAAAAAAAATAAAATAAAATCTGTTTTTCAAAGGTTTAGTTTAAGATTTTATTACTATACTATTCAGGTTATAATTTATCTTGTTCAACTTATGATAACACCGCTATAATCTCGTTAAGTGTTTAGTTTGCAGTCAGAGGGAAAAAAAAATGATTGAAAATATGATTGTTCTGATGGTTGAGAATATATAAAACTCAGGTTGAAGGTTTAGGTAAAGTTTTATTCTTTGAACTGGACAATAAATGTCTGCTTGAAGTTTGTTTTGATAATGTTATTTAGAAGAACAATGAAAGCTGTACAATCAAATCATCTAGTTCAAAGAACAAAACTCTAACTAAAAATATAACTTAACCATATTAACAATTATTCAAAGTTGAAATCATGAGTTAATTGAAGTTAGACCACCATCTTAAACCTGGAAGCACTGGACGGCCGTTTAGTCCTATTATGGGACGTCTTAGCAGTGAGCATTCACGAACTCGCTCTCGAGACTGGCTCGAGACTGGTAGATCCTGGGTTCGAATCTCGCGAGGGCGCGTTCGTGGATGTGCACTGCCACTGAGGAGTCCCATAATAGAACGAAACGGCCGTCCAGTACTTCCACGTTTTCGATGGTGGTCTAGCTTCAATTGATTCATTATTTCAACTTTGAAAAATGCTGAAATCTCCACAAATCCCCTTCTGAATATAAACAATTAATTTATGCGAAAGTAAAGGTTGAATTATATGTCGATCATGTAAATATGATAAATGACAAATTAAATACTTCCTAAATATATTATTACTATTGGCTTTATTCAATGTTATGTATTTGATACAATATACAATTCTAAGCATGAAATATTTCGACAAGTTTCCTTTTCGTATTCTTTCATCGATCTTGACGATAATTATTGAGTGATATCCAATTCAATGATAGAAGTTCAGGAGTCGACATCTGAATAATGTATAGGCAACCACGTTATCTCTGATTGGGCTCTTTTTTTTTTACTTGTACAGTGAAATACTGTAAACTTTTCACAAATGTACCTGAATAGGTCATGAGACTATAGGACATAATGATGTGTTAAAACCAAAAAGAAAATAGATAACAATTAGTTGAAATGGTATTTCAGATTAATAGAAAGTTAAACAGAATACACATTGGCTAGTTATTAGAATAAACAATTGGTGGGGTCAATTATGTAACATTCCTTAAAAATGTCTAAGGTATCCATACGATTTTGATGGAGTTTTGTTTTTTGAAATGGATGGTTTGGTCAACAAAAACTTCTAATTGTAAATGTTTAGTTAGAGAGTAATTCATGTGAACTAGATTAGTTAGAGTTAGCCGCGGACCAGCATTCTCAAACCCACTCTGTCCTGGGCCTTCTTTTCTAGTTCTATCCTATATTTGTTCATTCTTTTCATCTCTGTCTCCGTTTCTCGACGTAATGTGTTCTTTGGTCTTACTCTTTTTCTTTGGCCTTCAGGATTCCATATGAGGGCTTGTCTTGTGACTCAGTTGCGTGATTTCCTCTCTCTCTCTCTCTCTCTCTCTCTATATATATATATATATATATATATATATATATATATATATATATATATATATATATATATATATATATATATATATATGGGACTTTGCCATATGATTTTGATTTAGTATGGAACACAGTATATCAAATCCAAATAATCAAATAAATGTGTTTTTTACAAAAGGCAAGTTGTTTTTCAATATAAATGAAACGCAAGCACTGAACAGCTGTTTTGTCTTATTGTTGGACATCTCAGCAGTGCGCAACCACTATTTCGCCTCGCGATATTCGCTTCAATCGACTCATACTTTCAACTAGGAAAATATTGAAATCTCCATACAAACCCCTTCTCAATATAAAATGTTTGTTTATCGAATTGCCTTTAAGGTCATTTTTAAGAAAAAAATTGCTTTATACTGTAGATTTACTGATTATTAAACCAGTAATCATATCAAAGATTTCAGTATGAACATGGTAAGGGATATGCTACTTAGTATAATATCAGTAATATGAATCATGAACCTTTTAATAATGAATTTTAGAATTTATTTCAATAACTTGAATATACTTATAAGAATTAGGTCATCTTAGACTTCATTCAACTATTAATCAGGATGTAGTTCTGAAACACTAGTTACATAATTCAGAAGAAAACGATCTGTATACATAATGAACATTTCCCTATATAATGAATAAGTTAACTATAGGGAAACTTAATATTAAAGAAACAGAACATATTGACATGTTTTCATTTCTTATAAACAACGTACATCAAGTCAATGATCATGACTTGAACAAACGATTTTTTTAAAAAAAACAACAGAAATCTCTGTAATACCTCATCCAATCTAATTGACTTAAATTTAACTACAATACTTTCTTCTATGAATGTCATTCGTCAATGAACAAGAATACAAGTGAGAACAATCGAATGTATTGGAATAAAAAATTACAGAACTTCTTACTAAGATCTGACAATCATACAGTAAATACTACATTTGAAAAATGTTCATTAATTGTCTCAAACTTCATTGTTCCTTCGTTTCCACACTGATTACTTTCTGTTCCCCATTTTTCCTCCTTGATTTTTTTTTTGATCTTCTCCTGGTAGAAATTCTATCCTATCTAGCTTTATATACTACTTATGTCGATATAAGTAGCACACAAAACAGTATTGCCATTACTATTTTTTTTAGAACATATTCTTAAGAGATATCATAATCCAGAATTCTATGTAAATTGACTGGTGAATAAAATATCTATCTTCTATCTATTGTGAACAAGTAAAATGAAATTTTCATAGTTGAAATCATGAGTCAATTAAAGCTAGACAACTATGGAAAACCTGGAATCACTGGACAGCCGTTTCGTCCTATTATGTGACTCTTCAGCAGTGCGCATCCACGATCCCGCACTGGCGAGATTCGAACCCAGGACCTACCAGTCTCGATTCAGAGCCCTTAACCGATAGACCACTGAGCCAGCCGGCATCCGATGGTGTTATTGTCTAACTTCAACTAATCCACGATTTTGAGCGACCGTTCACCAATTGTCTTCAGTAAGTTGATATCTCTACAACAGACTTGATAGAATTCCACTTGTCACTGCTTACCGCTAGAACTTAAGGAAATATCTCTTGAAGTCAATCACTAGTGAGTATATGCTTCAACTGACTCATGATTTCAACTATGAAAATATTAAATTCTCCACAAAACCCCCTCAGATCTATATTATGAAATTTATCTAAAAATCTATAAATCCATCGTTTCCATTTTTCTTTTCTGTTAAAAAATGTAGAAAAACACACATATGCAAGCAAACATTACTGTTTTCCATTAGATCTTCATCAGAGCTTTACTCTAATATACACTAATATTTAAATACATATACAAAATGGAGATTTAGTATTTTTCATAGTAGAAAGCATGAGTCAATTGAAGCTAGACCACCATGGAAAACCTGGAAACACTGGACGGCCGTTTCGTGGTCTATCGGATAAGGGCTTCGGCTTGAGACTGGTAGGCTCTGGGTTCGAGTCTCGCTCGCGAGAGCGAATTCGTGGATGCGCACTGCTGAGGAGTCCCATATTAGGACGAAACGGCCGTCCAGTGTTTCCAGGTTTTCCATGGTGGTTTACCTTCAATTGACTAATGCTTTCTACTATGAGAAATATACAAAATAATTAAACAAATTAAGGCAGTTTAAGAGTCAATGATAACAGTGGAATAGATTACACAACTAAACATTAATAAGTAAAGAGTACAAATTGATGATAGTTATACTAGATGTAATAAGCCATAATAAAAGCTTGGATCAATGTTACATAATGGGAAATAAGTC